GCTCCACGACTAAGTCCTTCCGCTAGGACATCTGCCGTGTTAAGTCCACGACATTGTGGTTTAGCAAGAAACCTAAGCTGTCATTTCTTAAAGTTTGGGGTTGTGACACTTATGTCAAAAGGCTTCAGCCTGATAAGCTCGAAACCAAATCAGAGAAGTGCATCTTCATAGGATACCGTAAGGAAACAATTGGGTATACCTTCTACCACAGATCTGAAGGCAAGATCTTTGTTGCCGAGAATGGAACCTTTCTAGAGAAGGAGTTTCTCTCGAAAGAAGTGAGTGGGAGGAAAGTAGAACTTGATGAGGTAATTGTACCTTCTCTCGAATTGGAAAGTAGCGCACCAGTGAAATCTGTTCCTGTGAAGCCTACACCAACTAGAGAGGAAGCTAATGATGATGATCATGAAACTTCAGATCAAGTTACTACTGGACCTCGTAGGTCGAACAAAGCACGTTCCGCACCAAAGTGGTACGGTAATCCTATCCTGTAAGTCATGTTATTAGACCATGGAGAACCTACGGACTATGAAGAAGCTATGATGAGCCCAGATTCCGTCAGATGGTTTGAGGCCATGAAATTTGAGATAGGATCCATGTATGAGAATAAAGTGTGGACTTGCCCAATGATCGACAAGCCATTGAGAATAAATGGATCTTCAAGAGGAAGACAGACACTGATGGTAGTGTTGGTCGCATGGCGATGTGAACTATGGGTTTTAATCACCTGGTGATGTAAACTATTCATGTTAATCACATGGCGATGTGAACTAGATTATTGACTCTAGTGCAAGTGGGAGACTAAAGGAATATGCCCTAGAGGCAATAATAAAGTTGTTATTTTATATTTCCTTATTCATGTTAAATTTTTATTATTCATGCTAGGATTGTATTGATCGGAAACCTAAATACATGTGTGAATAAATAGACAAACATTGAGTCCCTAGTGAGCCTCTACTTGACTAGCTTGTTGGTCAAAGATGGTTAAGGTTTCCTGACCATGGACATGAGTTATCATTTGATAACGGGATCACATCATTAATAGAATGATGTGATGGACAAGACCCATCCGTTAGCTTAGCATATTGATCGTTCAGTTTTATTGCTATTGCTTTCTTCATGTCAAATACATATTCCTTCGACTATGAGATTATGCAACTCCCGAATACCGGAGGAATGCCTTGTGTGCTATCAAATGTCACAACAAAACTGGGTGATCATAAAGATGCTCTACGGGTATCTCCGAAGGTGTTTGTTGGGTTTCCATAGATCGAGATTAGGATTTGTCACTCCGAGTATTGGAGAGGTATCTCTGGGCCCTCTCGGTAATGCACATCATGAGTAGCCTTGCAGGCAAAGTGACTAATGAGTTAGTTGTAGGATGATGTATTACGGAACGAGTAAAGAGACTTGCCGGTAATGAGATTGAACTAGGTATGAAGATACCGACGATCGAATCTCGGGAAAGTAACATACCGATGGATAAAGGGAATAATGTATGTTGTCATAACGGTTCGATCGATAAAGATCTTCGTAGAGTATGTAGGAGCCAATATGAGCATTCATGTTCCGCTATTGGTTATTAACCGAGAGGTTTCTCGGTCATGTCTACATAGTTCTCGAACCCGTAGGGTCTGCACGCTTAACGTTCGATGACGATATAGTATTATATGAGTTATATGATTTGGTGACCGAATGTTGTTCGGAGTCTCGGATGTGATCACGGACATGATGAGGAGTCTCGAAATGGTCGAGAGGTATAGATAGATATATAGGAAGATGGTATCCGGATACCGGAAGTGTTCCAGAGGTTATTGGGTACTTATCGGGTCATCGAAAGGTGTTTCGGGTACCCCCGGCAATCCTATGGGCCATATGGGCCTTGTGAAGGAACACACCAGCCCACAAGGGGCTGGTGCGTCCTATAAGGCCATAGGAGGAGGAGGAGAAGGAAAGTGCGGAAGGGAAAGGAAAGTGTGGATTAGGATTCCCACTTCTTTCCCTTACCCCTCCCCTCTTTCCTTCCCCTTCATGCATACATGGAAAGGGGGGGCAGGGCAAGGCAGGGCCCCTAGGGGGCGGCGGCCAACACTAGGGGGCGCCCTGGCTGCCTCCCCCCACCTATATATATGTGTGTGGGGGCGCCCCTAGCACACCCCAGACTATTGCATAGCCGTGTGCGGCGCCCCCTCCACCGTTTACTCCCACGGTCATATCTTCGTAGTGCTTAGGCGAAGCCCTGCGCGGATCACTTCACCATCGCCGTCACCACACCATCGTGCTGATGGAACTCATCTACTACCTCGAGGCCTTGCTGGATCAAGAAGACAAGGGACGTCACCGAGCTGAACGTGTGCAGAACTTGGAGATACCGTACGTTCGATACTTGATCGGTCGGAGCTAGAAGAAGTTCGACTACATCAACTGCATTGTCAAACGCTTCCGCTTACAGTCTATGAGGGTACGTAGACACACTCTCCCCCTCGTTGCTATGCATCTCCTAGATAGATCTTGTGTGAGCGTAGGATTTTTTTTGAAATTGCATGCTACGTTTTCTAACACTAATGTGGAGTAGTTAGAGCTCAGATACCATGATTCCTTTCCCCACCACCGACCGCTGAGCGGCTGGCAGAGGCGAGGCGAATCCAAGGGATCGCTAGCGGAGATTGAGAGAAAGAAGGCTTCTCGCTAGCCGCCTTGCGAGAGAGAGACCCTCTTGCTTCTGATTAGCCTAAGCTTCTTCAACTCACAATTCAAAAGGTTACAATCAATTTTTTTGCTCTTAGAGCATCTACAACTGGGCGCCCCAAACCGGCCTCAAATGCCCAGGCGGCTCGTCTGGTCACTGACCGGTCACAAAAATCTGACCCAGACGGGCGCCTCAAACGCCCGGGCTGACTGCACCTCTCATATCCAGCCCAAATATGGAGCGACCGAGCGCGCCCGCCATGTCGGACTGACGGCGGGGTCCCGCGCGGAATCGCTCGGGAACCCAGTGGTCCGATGTCGCCGCATGGTGCTGCTCTGGCGGGCCGCGTAGTGCCTAGCCCGGCTATTTAAGTCGACTACCGGCACCGAAACCCTACCATCCATATTTTCCTCCGCTTGTCTGCCGCCGCTGCCACTTTCCACTCCCCGTTCGCCTAGTCGCCATGCCGCCACGCCGCTGGGTGAGGAGCTACCCATTTCTAACGCCGGAGCGCCGGCTGGAGCTCCTTGAGCAGATCCGGGCAAGGCGCGAAGCCCCGATCGCCGCGGGGCTCCTTCCAGATGCAGTGGATCCGAAGAAGGAGTTGGAGGAGGAGGAGGATGAGCAGGGAAGGAGGATTTGGGGGACGCTGGCGATATGGATCTGCAGGCGGAGCAGCATGCCATCCTTGATTCCCTTCACTCGGAGTCGACTACGGAGGCCAGGTGCCGTCGTCGACAGGAGATGGAGGCGCAGCAGGCAGCAGAGGAGGCGGAGATGCTCGCCTACAAGGATGAGGTCGAGCAGGAGGAGGATGAGTCGGAGCCCTCCTACACGCCCGTCCACCCGGCGCCCGGTACCGACGCCGTGGAAATCTACGACGATGAAGATTAGTTAGGGTAGTACATAGTATGTACTTCCTCCGTTCCAGAATATAAGGTGTATTGGTTTCTGTGCAAGTCAACCATTTGAATGTTTGACCAAGATTATAGAATAAAATAACAACATCTGCAATACCTAGTAGATGAAATATAAAACCACTTTTCATGATGGATCAAATGATATAAATTTCATATTGTGAATGTTGATATATTTCTCTAAAAATATGGTCAAACTTGCGCTTGTTTGACTTTTTAAAAAACAAATACACTTTATATAAAGGAACGGAGGAAGTAGTACGTAAGATTTTTTTTGCATGTTTTTTGTGGATCTAGAGGTTAAAATATGAAAGACTCAAATACGGCTAATTTAAAATGTGACTGGTCACTGTCCGCGGACACACCTAATCGTATCCGTGGGCGTTTAAGGGACCGAATTTGCAAGAGCCGGCTGTAGTGGATTTGCAATGGCCGCCTGTAGATGCTTTTAAGACAACAAAGACAATTTGATTCGCCTAGTAGCCTCTAATACTAGTCTAACATGGCTAAGTTAAAGAATTGAAGATCCCTGCCCCATACCTCCTTGCTTTTTCTGGAACAGTATTTCCCTCACCAACGCCAAGTTACAGTACATTTCAAATGAAAAAAAACACCAATATACAGTACATTTCAAAAGAGAAAAAAAACACCAACATACAATAGATTGACAGGGAAGCATGGCAAGCAATTTAAAACAAAGGGAAACTCTTACCATCACGTGACACGTGTCCAAGTGAAAGCCCACATACCATCCTTGTTAAACGCGCTTTTACAATAGAAGTTATGTTTCTAAAACATATATAGTGTTGCAATGGTCTACGACAGGTCTCTGCAACAAGACCTCGATTGCAAAAACAAAAATTTCAACAGAAACTCAGTTGCAAAAAAGCAACAAAACAACTGTTGCAAAAAATTCTGCAACAACACCTGTGCTGCAGAAATAATTCTGCAACAAGACCTGTGTTGCAATGGTGGGACGCGCTCGACCGCTTGATGCAGCAAATCTTACTGTCGCGGCCCGGATGATCTTTTAAAATAAAAAATAAAATAAAATAAGATACTGGTGTTCCCGAATTAAAAATAATCACCGGCCACGCCCAACTCGCCTGTGGCGCCGTTGGATCACCCCATTCGCGTCCTCACCGGTCACGGAGCTTGCCGTCACTTTCCCAATCGGAGCTCTCTCTCCTCCCAAATCCCAAACAGATCAAACGGAGGAAGAAGGACGGGACGACTTCGTCTCCCCCAGCAGACAGCTCCCGCCTTGGCAGCTCCGCAGGCCGGCCGTGCTGCCCATACCCACTCCTCTCTCCCCCGTCCCGCCCCGTCTCACTCCGTGCTTCTCTCGCTCGTTCGCCTGAAGCTGGTCGGTCTCCCCCCACCGCGCCGGCGAGATGGAGCTGAAGCCCGGCATGTCGGCCCTCGTCACCGGCGGCGCCTCCGGCATCGGTAAGGGAGCGCCCTTCCTCTTCCTTCCCCGCGTCCGCTCATGGGCGTTTGTCTTCGCCGAAATTCTGGCTCTGATCTGATGCGCCTCACGCTGTTCTGCGTGGCCAAGTGCGCTTGCTACTGGCTGGGGGATGCTTAATTGCGGGTTGACCTGTGAGCTGTAGCGGGTTTGCTTAGTGTAACCTGTTGGTGAGAGCTCGATGCGGGAACCGGGTAGGGGTGGGCTAATTACGCCGGGTGGTACTTGATCTGGTGGTGATGAACTGATGGGTTACTGCCTGGAAAGCATTGGTTAACAGTTGCAACATCATTGTGCCTGTACAAATGAACGAACGGGGGACGCATGCAGTTGTACTTCTTCGGCTGCAATAATGGATTAATTTACTATCGTGTACTTGAACTATGAACGTCACACCGACAGAACTAATTGTGTACTGCTGTTGTGCCCGTGGCCCCCCGTACACAGCAAGAAATGTCTCAAGAGTTATAAGATACTAGCACGGTAGCAGGCAATCTATACTTGCACCTGTACAGTATCGGTATTCGGTACCTGTCAGCTACTATGCCAAAATGATGTTCCCACCTTTGAAATATGTTGCCTTCCTTTCCTCATCGACTTGATTTTGTGCAGGGCAATCATTTTAGTAGATTGCATTGCATTAACATATCGACCGCTAACTCCTTTTTGATTTTCTGAAGGGAAAGCGCTCTGCATCGCTTTTGCACAAAAGGGTTTATTTGTGACGGTGGTCGACTTCTCTGAACAAAATGGAAGAGAAGTCACTTCGCTAGTTCAAAAGGAGAACAGAAAGTTTCATGGAGATCTTGGAGTACCGTCTGCCATATTCGTCAAGTGTGATGTTTCTATTGAAGGTAAGAGTTGTTTTAGGGGAAGCAAGCAAAGAGCAGTTAATTTGCATGAGGACCTACTTTTTAACTGTTTGTTGATGCAATATTTTTGGAAAAATAAGTGCATCAAATCAAAGTATGGTAAGACAAGCGTCACTTCAATCATACAGTATACTTGTCAAGCATTACGTTCTAAATGTGATATGAAGATCATACCATTGTAGAGATCATGCATGTCTGGTGTTACATCTAATCTCAGTCTTTTGCCTTCTAAGCACAAGCTGAAAATACTGCCAAACAAAGCTAACAAATACCAACCATCTCTGCTGTATTTCTACTATCTAGGTTTAATACCTAATGCATCAATATGGTATTTATTTCCGTTCGCTGTAAAGAAGCATCAAATCTCTTTTAACAGGGCTTTGTTTATTTTTATTTTTGCACGTCAGGCATTACAAAAAAAATTCTGGTGTGTTCTGATTTGTTTTGTCATGCGGATTACTTGTCGTATGGTTTCAAATGTTAAATAACAGCATGATTTTGCTGCTCTTCAGGTTTTCCATGATTTGAAGTTACAGTGATTTGATATGCAGGTGATCTAGCTGCTGCTTTTGCGAAACATGTAGACACATATGGTGGACTAGATATCTGCATCAATTGTGCTGGAATTGCCAACAAAACATTAGTTTATTATGATACATCTGACGGAACTAGGACATGGAGGCATGCCATAAATGTGAACTTTGTCGCTGTTATTGATGGTACTCGCATTGCAGTAAGTGTTGACTATTGCAATAACATTGTTATATTTATTTGTTCAGTAACTCAATCTGCTAATCTTGCAGTAACACTGAGTGCTGTCTATGGAAATTGTGTTTGGCTCCTGAGCTCCATGGAGCCTGGTTTTTGAAAAAGAAAAACTGATTTCTAGATTTAAAAAAATTCTGAAAAAAATACACACATACCTATGGATGCATACTACTTTTCTGTAAATTTCATGGTGAAATACATTTTCATGCGAGCTACAAAAAAGTAACAAAATCATGTGTTTGTAGCATATGTACCATTCACTATAAAAGTACATGATTTTTTTTACACAGCTCACTTCAAAACGCATTTCATAATAAAATTTTATACACATGCAGTATATATCTCCAAGTACCTGTGTATTTATTTTCAGTTTTTTTTAACTTAAAAAAGTCAGCTTTTGAATTTTAGAAAAGTCCGGGCTCCATGGAGCCCGGAAGCCAAATATCCTATCTCGTGCTGTCTATGCTTTCTTATTACTTAGACATACTAAATAATATAACCCAGAAGTTCTGCATAGGCTTTAATTGTCTGTTCATCCAGTTGTTTAAGGGAAGAAAGTATTGGGTTTCCCTTTATTTGTTTCCATTAACCATTACTCAAGGAAATTAAGTGGTACTGATTTTGTCATAACGTGGCCTGTTCTTATGGTTTCCTTTGGAGCCAGAAGAGGATTTTTGAATTTTTTTTATCTTGGAATAATTCGGAAGATAATAACTATTGTTATACATGTTACTTGTTTCTACTTCATCCAAATGCCATATGCACAAAACTTACTGTTGGATATATTCACCAGAGTCAAATAATGCGATCCCGGAAGAAGCCTGGTGTCATAATCAATATTGGTTCAGCTGCGGGCCTTTATCCCATGTTCGCCGATCCCATATATACTGGGACAAAAGGTTCATACACCATCCTGTATACTTCTACTTTTTTTTCTCTGGCAGCAGATCACAGTGCCGATGCAAGGCCTAAGTACATATGAATTCCAATTATGAATGTTGGTTTTATTGAAATTTATATTCATGCTGATTGTTTTTCTACATGGTTCAAGATACATGCTACCATAACCTGTACAAAAGTTCATATTTCGGTCATATAGAATGTTACATGCTGTTGCCTACACGTTTTAGTATTAACTTCTAGTCCTTTATGTCATATGATGATATATTTGAAGCATGTGTGCACTTTGTGATCTCAAGCTTCATTTTCGGCAGGTGGTGTTGTTATGTTTACTCGATCACTTGCTCCATTGAAACGCCATGGTGTTCGTGTCAACGTGCTCTGCCCTGAGGTATTAGCGAATTGCATGATGGGTGGCAATTATTATACTATTATGTACTCCCTCTGTAAACTAAGTATAAATTATTTGTCTATTTATTTATTTTTCTACCACATACTGGGTTTGCTTGCCATATTAGTTCAGCTAGTGCTGTGCATTTTTTTCATTCTAATCTTGTGGGAATCTGCTGATGGGTTTTATAGTCTGTCAAGATATTAACTTGACAATGGTACAGACGTACAGTAGAGCACAATATTTTATCCAGTACGTAAATTCCTATCAACTTGAAAAGTCACCAGATTAACCAGATAGTGCAGCTATTGCAATCTCAAGTACCAGGGGTAAATATCTTTCAGCACCAAGCATTCACACAGGAAATCTCACTCTTAGACAATCCTCCTTTCTTTACCTGAGATAGATTGACATAGACATGTAGTTGAGCTAAATGGCAAAAGCAACTAAGTGGGCCAAATGCCAAATTTTATCGATAATTCCATCTTAGAAAATTTGAGGATGTCCACTATTTGATGTAATTTGCAAGGGTTGGAGTATAATTTAGAATCCAACTAACTATTCCAGACAGATTAGCATATTATTCTATCTCATTAGTAACAGCTGGAAGGGACAAAGGCCATGATGATCTTTCATTAGTGTTATTTGTGGTATGCAGTTTGTTCAAACTAATATGGCTGAGCAAATAAATCAAAAAATAGTACATGCAACTGGTGGATTTTTGAAGATGGAGGAAGTTGTTAATGGTATACTACATCTCACCTTTTAAAGCTGTAGTTAAATATGTCATGTACTTTCAGCATTTTTCCATATTGTATGCATCACAGTTATCGCATGCTACTATTTGGTCTTCGATGAATTGTTCGAATCTTTATTTGAGGTGGGATGTTCTAAATGATGAAAATTAACATAGGCATTTATACATTTATGGGTATATTATTATAAATTGATAAAATACATGCTCACTTGACTCTTCAAGCTTAAGAACTTCAAATTTCTGTCCTTAATTTGTATGAGTTAGGGCTGGCCAAAACTTTGTGTGGTTCGCAGAGATGGTTGAAATGACAGTAGAAAATCACCAGAACCTGGTTTTGTTTGGAATACCACCTGCCAGAAGGTCTATTTGTTTGTAGAACCAGTGAGTCCTAAACATATGTTTCATGTCTGTTCTGTTCACTTATCAATTGATGACAACATGACCAACTGAATGTGGGAATGGAATGTCAGTGATGATATCTCAAAAATATGGGGTATGGGGTTTGCTAATTTGCAAACATTAAAAGGCTAAAGAGCTTAACTGTAAATTTGCATATATTGCCATCGCTTTGCTGGAGCGCATCAATTTGTCCATGTCAAACATCCCTGCTAGGTGAGTATGGTTCGGCCCACCATTTCTACATGTTTAGCAACCTAGAAGTTTAGGTATTTACTGTCATATCTAGGTATGCATTATGTCTTTCGTATGATGTTTTCTCTCTTTCTCTTAATTATTATCTGAAACGAACCTCTTCTATTTTGGTTAGGCGCATTTGAACTTATAAAAGATGAGAGCAAAGCTGGTGCTTGCCTTTGGATAACTAAGCGGAGAGGGATGGAATATTGGCCATCAGCAGAGGAACAAAGAAAATATCTGTTGAATTATACCAAGTCAAAAAGAACAGTAACAAAGAATGTATTTCCTAGCATCCAAACACCTGAGTTTTATGAGAAGATGTAAGTAGCCCTGCTATGTTATATTTATATTTGTAAGCACTTGGAATATTCTCAAGTTAACAACAACACAACTCTCTAACCCCCAGTAGTACATTTTTTTTCTCGTACGATTCTATCCTAAAATGCTTAAAGTCACTGAATCAATCCCTTAGACAGGAAATGAATAACTTTTAGATACGTGATTTTCATAGCTTGCAGTATTTTCTAACTATGTGTCTGCACTCTCTAGAGAAATCCTTTAGACGGAGGGAGTACTATTTTACTTTGTTGCAAGGTTTGCGGATTGAAAGAAAATCTCTTATATTCTGATTTCTGTTCCAGTGTTCTTTTCTTGCTAGTAGCCTGGTAGAAATACTTGACCAAATAGCTAATTTTGTTACCTCCATTTGTCATATTGGAGGGTTCAAGCTTTCTTGAAAGACGACACTCAAAAATACCCTCAATTTTGGTTTGAAATGATATCTCCAATTTCTCCGATAAAAGAGGGTTTTCCCCCAAAAGGTAGAAGTTTGTTATAGTTCTAAATGGAAAATGTTAAAGAGAGCGAATGACTTACAGCAAACTGACAATTCAAACCCACTGAGCCACACCATAAGTTCTCACATAAGTTCTCACATAAGACTGAGAAATAGTAGATGCTCTCCAGCAAAAGCTTGCTGAAGTTCATCTTCCACGCATGCTCTTGCGGAACATCTCAAAAACATTCCTATCATTGCATCTCTCTCCCCATTGCAGCAACGGAGAACCTTCAAGCCTGTATTCGTTGGCAGGCCTCTACCACCGGCTCTTCTGCAAATGTCACTTGCCACCTACTCAACCAGTCCTGCTCAATTTAGGCACAGTTCTAGGAACACAAGGCAAATCAAATGCACACCAGATTATATTCCAAATTAAACCTAGCCAAAGGGCACACCAGAAACAAGTGGTTGATGCTTTCCTCCTGCCCACAAAAATGACAAGTTGATCTCGTTTCCACCCCCTACCATTCAGGTTATCTTTGGTCAAGATGCTTCCTATGCAGTTTTTACATCCCACAAAAACTTGTGTGAATAATTCCACTCATTCAGTTTCAGGAACTCGTAGAAAGTTAAACTGAAAACTTCCCTTCTGATTAAATGACCAAATCTAACCATCAGAATTGTGCAGTAATCACATATTGCAAAGTTTTCTTTTGAATAATTACATACTCTGTTATGCGTAACAATGGATTGATATTCACAAAATATTATCCTGTTTCTTATAGATGTTATGAGTGTCTGTTTCTGAAATATATGTTGTTTATCAGCAACATAGATGAGACCTCAGAGGTATAACAGCAAAAGTATCCAAAAACCATTAACACTATATGTGATCTCGACACTGTATTGCTTGTCAATTAAGTTTCTACACTACAAAATTCCCTAATGGCAATACTTTGTCAGTTATCGTCTTTCACACTATATGAGATCTCAACACTAATGATTGTCTCTATGATTTTGTAGAGTTGTTCACACACTCAGCCATAATTTCCGCAATGCTACAAGACTTGATCGTGTGCGATTGAGATTGCCCATTGAACCACAAAGTGCGCTAGTTAAAATAATATACGCTGGTGTAAATGCTAGTGATGTAAGTCCTTGGATTTTAGTGTCTAATTGCTTTTCTTTGACTCCCTGTTGATTAACTGCTGGAAGCTTTTAATGATGTCATGCAGGTAAACTTCAGCTCCGGACGGTATTTCAGTGGTAGTGCTAAAGAAACTGCTGCACGCCTTCCGTTCGATGCTGGTTTTGAGGTGATCCATAGTATTACATGTCTATGTTAATGCCGTCCTCAATGTTGGATAACGTTCTTAAGATGTTATTTTGTGTAACAACTTACACCATCATTCGGAATTTCTGACAACGCAGCATATGCTTCCATATTTTGACATTTTGACATTTTGACTCAGAATTTCACCAGATAGAGACATGGTACAAGAAATAGGCTATTACGTAACTCTAAATAAATTGTGGATACACCCGTAATCCTTGACATACTGAAACGATTTGCCAATATTCTTGTCAAACCAACTGCGACCCATACAAGTTAAATCTTCTAAGCAATGTCTGGCAATAATGCTTTTTTTGCATATGTATTAAGAATTCCACTCCCTCTGTAAACTAATATAAGATAGTTTAGATCACTACTTTAGTGACCTAAACGATCTTATATTAGTTTATTTACAGAGGGAGTACAACATAATGATTCCATTGATAGTGCAATTTGTACAGATAATTGTAGGATAAACTCACTCACATCATTCGATGGGGTTTACAAGTCAAGACTCAAGTCAAGTCTAGATGCTGGGTAGCAGCTCATAGACTAGTTGCAACTAGTTGACTACTCGTTCGCTTGCTATACGTACCATACTTCTAGTTTACTATGCTACAAAATTTGGAGGGAGGGGAAAAAAATATATGGCTCGTACTGAATCAGAAGCATGACATCTTGCTATCAGATTCTCGGAGGTAAATATAAAAAACTATCTGCTGGAATCAGAACTCAGAAGCAAATCATATCTTCATTCATAAGCAGATAAGCTACACACTTAAGGCTCAGTTTGCGGTTGTTGAACTGTGCTGTGCTGAACCTATTTTATATTCTGCTGCGGAAAACTAGCCATGGAATTAATAATAAGTTGGTTAAACAAAGTAAGAAACGGTAAAATAGGCAAACGCTGGTTAGCCAAACCAGGTTATGATATTCCACCCTGATGCTAAACGGAGCCTAACACAAGTACATGG